TTTTTTTGTTTGGGTCAAGAAGGGGAGAGTTTTAGGGGATTTGAGATGTTTTGTTTTTATGTTTTGGAGGCAGCAGCATGTGGTTGAAAACCATGAGCTGCATATAAAAAGGCCAGGCTCTTCATGTGAGTCTGACACCTTAGTGTGAGTCTGACACCTTAGTTCTGGGAGGCATCAGAGTGTAGGCAAATGCCCGGAGAGGGTTCAGGCTCGGTCTGAAGCGAGTCCCTTCTCCTTGGGCCCGTTCTGTTCCCTGTGACACGTGGGCAGTGAACCGGACAGCTTGAGAGGCTCTGCCGAGTCAGTGAGGCCTTCAGTGACAATACAGAAGGAAGGTGCAGGCATACCTCATTTGATTGTGCTTCTCGGATTTTGCGTTTTGTACAAATTGAAGGTCTGTGGCCACCCTGTGTTGCGCAAGTCTCTCAGCACCGTTTTTCCAGCAGCATGGCTCACTTTGTGTCTCTGTGTCACATTTTGGTAATTCTCACAGTATTTTGTATTTTTTCATAGTGCTATTTATTGCACAATTAATACACTACAGTATAGTGTGAACATAACTTTTATATGCACTCAGAAGCCAAAAAAGTTTGTGTGACTCACTTTATTGTGCTATCTGCTTTCTTGTGGTGGTGTGGAGCCAATCTGCAGTATCTCCGAGGTAAGCCTGTAGCAGCTCTGCTTTGGATCAGACAGAACTGGGTTTAAAACCTGGCTCTGCCACTCACTTAGGTTCTGTGACTTAAGACAAATTACTTCACCTCTGAGAGCCTACAAAATGGGAATGATAATAGCACCTGTGTCACAGGGTTCTTACAAGGACTGAATAAGGAACTACATGCACAGCTCTTAGCACAGAGCCAAGCAGCAGTAAATAAGAGCTCCTGTTGTGAACAGAAGTTTTTGGCCTGGCCCTCACATTGGTATTTTTCGTCCTGCCTCTCTCTGCCTCACAGTCCGTACTTCATTACACAGTTTTTGACCACTGTGGGCCAGGCCCTGCACTAGGCCCTGAGGTGGAATAGCAGCCCTGAAAACCATTGCACAGATTGGAGCATCTTACACAATGGGCACTGAGAGGCCAACCCCAGAAGCCAGCAGAACACGACCTCAGATAGCCTGTGTCCCACTGTCAAAAGGAATAGAAGCCTGTTTGTCATCACTTTCATTTTTCCAGTATCCTGGTTGCTTGTCCAGTCTGCTGTTTTCCTGGGTGTGGAGGGCATATCATGACTTACTGCTTCCTCTAACTTCTTTCTCAAAGGGTGTGAACCTCCAGAAGCTTCTGGAAGCGGGGACCTTTATCTGTCAGGCCCTGAACAGGAAAACCAGCTCCAAAGTGGCTCAGGCCACTTGTAAACTCTGAGCTCCTTGCCCACCCGAAGTGGCAAGTGAGACTGTGTGGGAGTTGAGCATGCATGGATTAATCACTGCCAGACACGGATAAGAGGCTTTGGGGGCTGGACGTCTCCCTTCACTGCGGTGGACTCAAAAGTTGAATGTGTTCACTGAGAGCACTTGGGAGCCCAGTGCCCAGGCTTGGGTTGATCCTAGAATCCCCTCTCTGGGTGAAATCTGCCAGCTAGCTATCCTCTATACCATTGCTCTCTGGCTTCTTGGAGCAGAGATACATAGAGAGACCAACCAGCAGAAGGGTGGCTACCTGCCAGTTTGAGCATCGCTGGAATTCTCATGGGTGATACTTTCTACTCTGAATGTGATTTTTGAGAGCAGCTTATATAATTAAAAGATTAATGACACGCATACAGTCCAGTGTTCTGTTGTGCCAAGTACGTGTGTACATGAGAGTGGGGAGAGACTATTAGGGAATAAAACGTCTTTACAGCATTGAACTCTGATGAGAAAATGTAGACTTGGTTTCTTCCCTGTTGGCCCACCTGAGCCCCAAATTCATAGTGACCAGACATTGTTGAGCTTTGGCCTCAGGAGAATGCCTGCAGCACCGGCTGCCAGAACACCCTAAGAGGAGGTTTCTGAGGTGCCTGCCTCTGAGCCAGGGCACTTACACGAGCTCTCTGGTGGGCTGCAGCTGCCCCTTGGTCTCCTGGGCAGCCTGGCCAGCAGTCTGGCTTGCTGGCTGGAGTTCTCACCTCTCTGGACCTTAGGCTCTGGCCGGGTGGGGCGGGGGGGAAGTGCCGTGCAGGATGTGTTTACTTCACTGCTCAGGTCTCATCCCTCAGTAAGGCACAACTGTTTACACATTACTCCCCAGCCCTGCCTTTCTTTTGAACAGAAACAGTCATTTTCTCACATACTGTGGTAGGCAGGGAGCAAACCCTCCCCAGCAACTGAGGGCCACAGTCACAGTTCGTGTGAGCCTGAGAGCACTGGCACTGTAACCCCATTTTAGCTCTCGAAGTGTCTTCGTCAACTTACCAGGACCAGCAGCCTCTAGGGAAGGGAGGAGCGACCCCTCGTCAATTCACACAGTTACCTTTGCCTTTGTTCAGGTAGCACATATTTCACGTCAGACTCAATTGGAAGAATGGGTTTGGCAAATACAAAAATGTTTGAAAACCTGCTGGTTAGCGAAGGGTGGGGTGCTGTCAGCCCCACCTCGACCCTGTCACTCCTGCAGCTGGCCAGCTGCCATGGTGGTCCAAGGGACCTGACCTTCCCTCTTCCTGTCCTCCACCTATTTTCTAGGACTTAAAACAAGCACTGGCGCTTGGCAGGGGGTGGGAGGGTGGAGGGTGGACAACAGCGAGCAGACCTCTGCTCCTCCAGTCATGGGCACAACTCTTTACACATCACCTTTTGCGAAAAGGACTTGGGGGCAGCATCTTCTGACCTGTAACTTCATAAGGGCAACAGAATCACCATCAGCAGTCAAAGGCTTATTCCTATGAGGCCAGACATACCATCACCCTCCAGCCTTTTACCAATTCTGATATCAACTGTCCCTCCCATGGCACTCACTGTTCTCTGTTGGGTTCAATAATTTGTTGCAGTGGCAATGTAGAACTCAGACAATACTCACGATTATGGGGTTTATTAGGGAAGTAACAGGTTACAATTCAGGTTGAGGAATGTGCTCAGGATACAATTTTTCCATCAGGACAGTCTCCTTTCAGGCACAGCTCTCTGGCCCTTGGCCTCCTGGCCTGGTTTCTACCCTGCTTGGGCCTGTGTTACAAAGCTTAGTTAGCTTTGCTGATAGGTGCATCTGCGTGCACCCAACTCCACCAGCAAGCCTGCTGGCCAAAGGCACGCAGGTTGGCTGGCAAGCCTGCGGCTGTCTTGTGCCTCTTGGTCCCTCTGTGGTCATATCTGCTGGTTGTCTCTGCCAGTCAGTCGTCTGTCATCTTTCTGCCAAGGAGGTCCAGCACAGGGATCTCAGGTCCAAGGACATACTCCACTCTCCCTCCAGCTCTTCTCTCTTGATGACAGTGAGATCCCCTCTTCTGCCTCTAGGTGGGCTCATTTTAAGCCCAGCAGCATAGCAAAACTAACCAGTCTTCACATTGGAGTTCTATACATCTTATTTGATGGTCCCACCCAGTAATCTGGTGGGAGTCACAAAGACCATGGCTAGAAAAACCATGCCAAGTAATTCACTGCACACCTTTCCACACCTTGTCTCTGTTAACCACCCTCATCCTGGGGATGATGAGTGCACTTCCTCCCTTTGGGAGTGTGCCAAGCAGTCCCCTTGAAAACTGCAGCAACCCAACCATCTTAACATGCAGCTATTGTTTCTCCTCATCTGGAGCAAAGACGAGTGAACAAAATCAGACTCGCACAGTCCAAGAGACTAATGGACCGTGGGAACTACAGCCTCCATGCCCTGAGACCAGCAAAACTAGATGGTGCTGTTACTGCTACCAACCGCTCTGATCGGGATTTAATAGAGGGTCTTGAATAGAATAGGAGGAAAAGGTGTAACAAAATTCAAAATTACGAAGACCAGACATCCTCCTCTGATAAGACAGGTGGAACTCCTGAGACTAGGCCATTATAAACCCTTCAAACCTGAAACTGAGCCCATTCTTGGAGATCACCTTTCAGCCAAACAATAGACCTATAAAGTGACCCCTAACACCCAGGAGGAATGTGCTTCTCATAACAATCAAGCATGAGACCAAAAAGGGTACCATTGGCCCCAAAACGAAGCTCAGAGCAGGAAGAAGCCAGAAACGAATGGATACAGGGAACCCAGGGAGGAAGTGGGAAAAGTGCCGTTAACTCGAGGGGATTGCAACTAATGTCACGAAACAAAATGCCTGTAAATTGTTGAACGGAAAACTAACTTGCTTTCTAACCCAAACTATGGGGGAAAAAACAAAACAAAACACTGCAGGACATTTTTGTCCTCACGGTTTCCCGTAGTAGCTGCATGCCTTACGATACGTTTCCTTGGGGGCGTGGAAAGGGGCGGGACCTGGGTGGACCGTGGGCTCTTAAAGGAACTACCGCGCGGGGCGCGGAAGCCGGCGCCGCTGGAGCCAGCGCAGGGCGTGGGATCCTGAGCAGCTTCTGGACGCCGATTGAGTGGGTAGGTGGGTTAGGGGAAGGGCGGTGTAGCCCGAGGGGAGCGTTTCTTTGGGGGCCTTTGCCGCCTTCTGCGCAGAGTCCGGCCAGGGCGGGCCCGCCCCCTCTTTTCTTGCAGCTTTGGCTGGGGTGGCCCGGGTTCATTCATTCTCGGGCTGAGAACTAGCTCAGTGCCTCCGAGCCCTGGCCCGATTCCCAGCCCAAGGCTCAGCTGCACACTGCGCTCACAACCCACCGCCCCCTCTTCTCCATTATACAGACTAAGAAAACTGAGGCGACGACTGCTGGCCCAGGATACCGCGAGTGGGTCCAGGGCGAGGCCGACGTTAGGCCTCCAGGGTTCCGAACAGTGGAGCTCCATGAAGGGGGTAGAGGTGGCTGCAGCGTCTAGACCTTTGGAGCAGAGTCCAGCGGAAGCGGGGGGGTGAGGGGAGAGAGAACTGCTTGGAGAGATCAGGCTGAGACCCTGGAGATCCGGGTTTCAACCTAGCAATTAACCAGCTGTTTAACCTCAGGCAAATTACTTCACGTCTCTGACCCTCAATAGCTCTCTCTGTAAAGTGTCAGTAATAATACCTGCCACATCAGGACACGGAGGAGTTCAGGAAAATAATGCCAAAGCGCTAGGTCCAGAGCCTGGCGCTTAGCGGTCGCTGGATCAAATGTGTTGGAGCTGGATGAGCTGAGAAGGGGATTGTGGCGGCCTGGATGGAGGAAGTAATCAAAGGCCTCAGTGTCTGGGCTTCCCCCCTCCCCCTCTGCAGAGTTTGCGCAGGGCGGAGGTTGCACACCTGGTAGTGGAGACCCGGGCCAAGGCCACGTATACACGCCTGCCCAGTTGGGCTTAAAGTTGGGCGGGATCCCTAGCTCCAAGCCTGGAGTGAGCCGGCCAAGCTCTGCTCAGCACTGCCATAGGCAGAAGCTGAGCCAGCCTGGCTGCCCTGGGGTAGAGTGGGGTGTGGCCCACTCCAGAACGAAGATGGTCGTGTGGTCTACAAGCTGGTCTCAGCCTGCTTGCCAGAGGACTCGCCCTCAGCCAAACCAAAACCAAACCTGCTGCTATTGAGTTGATTCTGACTCATAGCGACCCTGTAGGACAGAGTAGAACTGCCCCCATAGACTTTCCAAGGCTGTCAATCTTTACAGAATCAGACTGCCTCATCTTTCTTCCCTGAGCAGCTGGTGGGTTCCAAGTGCCCACCTTTTGGTTAGCAGCCAGGTGCTTTAACTACTGTGCCACCAGCGCTTCTGACCCACCCTTGAGGCGATCTGTATATTTCCTGCTTCCTCCCAACTGACCTTTGAGGGAGAAGGAGATGGGGGCTGCCTGGAATGGGAGCTATTAGTCACTGAGCCAAAGAGCTTGTTTATCCAGAGTGACTGGGAAGGCTGAGTTTGAGCTGACAGAACCCGTCCCCTCTGGCTCCTGGAGTTCCAGTCCTGCTGCCATGTTTCCTTCTGCTCAGGCCACTTCAGCCCCTAGGTACCCCAGGGAAGATCCTCAAGTTCTGTCTTCACATTCCATTTTACAATCCTGGGCCAGAATGTATGGCACCTTTGTGTCAGTCTCCTCCCCTGTACCATGTGGCAGGTCTTTCACATCACCTCATGTAACCCTCACATCACCACGTGACATTGTAGTTACTAGCTCCATCATATTAAAACAGAAACTGAGGCCACGAATGGGTAAGTGATCTGCCCCAAGGCCTAAGGCCAGAAAGCGATGGTACCCAGACTTGAACCAGGGCTCACTCCTGAACCACCTTTGTAACTAGGACACACTGCTGCCGCCGAGTTGAGCTCACAGGGCCAGGCTGGTTAGAAGGAGGCCCAGAGCCAGCAGCCTCAGTCACCCAAGACTCTTGTGCCCTGGCCAGGGACAATGGAGGAGAAGGTGCTGGTAACAGGTGGGGCTGGCTACATCGGCAGCCACACGGTGCTGGAGCTGCTGGAGGCAGGCTACTCACCTGTGGTCATCGACAACTTCCATAATGCCATCCGCGGTGAGTGCGGGGTGGGGGTGGGGGGCTAGGACTTCTTTAGAGAATGGCAAAAGGAAAGCCCTGGGTTCCACCTACATCACAGAAGGGGTGTGTGTGAGTGTGTGTGTGTGTGTGTGTGTGTATGTATGTATGTGTTTGTCTCTAACTAATCCCTTGGCAACCCTGGACCCTATCTCCTCTGATTTTGATGGCCTCCATGTGTCCAACCAGGAGGAGGCTCCATGCCCGAGAGCCTTCGGCGGGTGCAGGAGCTGACAGGCTGCCCTGTGGAGTTTGAGGAAATGGACATCTTGGACCAAGCAGCCCTACAGCATCTCTTCAAGAAGGTACAGGCTTGGCAGGCAGGCCAGCAGGGGACACTGACCAGGGCCTGTAGAGCAACCTCTGACCCCACTGCGTCCCTGCAGCACAGCTTCGTTGCAGTCATCCACTTCGCGGGACTCAAGGCTGTGGGCGAGTCGGTGCAGAAACCTCTGGATTATTACCGAGTCAACCTGACAGGGACCATCCAGCTTCTGGAGGTGAGAGGCCTAGGGCAGAGAAAAATACTGGGAGGGCCCCAGCGAGGTGGGCAGGGCCAAACAGTGATAAAGGCTTGGTGCTAGAGGTATTGTGGACAAGGTCTCAATGTCTAATCCCATTTGGCCAGTTTAGGACCTGGACATCTTTACCTGGGAATGGGAATGCCCATAAGCTCATCTCCAACGACTGTGAAGAGAGCAGCATCCCATTACCCACTGCCACCAACTCAAATCATGACTCACAGTGACCTTATAGGACAGAATAGAACTGCCCCACAGGACTTCCAAGGCTGTAATCTTTACAGGAGCTGACTGCCCCATCTCTCTCCCATGGAGAGATGGGTTCATACCACAAACTTCAGTTAGCAGCCAGGTGCTTAACCATTGCGCCACCAAGGGTCCTGGCGGGATACCAGGGTGGGGATGATGTGTGAGGCAGAGCCCGCTGATGCCTCCCCTCCATGGCCAGATTATGAGGGCCCACGGGGTGAAGAACCTGGTGTTCAGCAGCTCAGCCACCGTGTACGGGAATCCCCAGTACCTGCCTCTAGATGAGGCCCACCCCACAGGGGGCTGTACCAACCCCTATGGCAAGTCCAAGTTCTTCATTGAGGAGATGATCCGGGACCTGTGCCGGGCAGACAAGGTAAGGACTCCCCTTGACCCAGCCATGCTCTGCTCACGGACTCCTCACAGCCACCCCATGGGCCTGAGGATAGACTCCTGAGCAAACCCCACCCAAGAAGGAAGTGAAGGCTCAGAAAGGAGTGGTGACCTGCCCAAGGTCCTGTCCCCTGTGCATTCCTCAAGGCAGAGAACAGGCATGGGGGATGAGGCGGAGGGCACTGGATACAGCTAGCCCAGACACGCTGCCTGCCCACTGGCCGCTGTCTGATCCGTGCGCCCACAGGCCTGGAACGCAGTGCTGCTGCGCTACTTCAACCCCACAGGTGCCCACGCCTCGGGCTGCATCGGTGAGGATCCCCAGGGCATTCCAAACAACCTCATGCCTTATGTCTCCCAGGTAGGGGAGAAGGGTAAGGACCAAGAAGGGTAGCCCTAGGGTTAGGGGGTTGTGGCTGGTGCTGGAAGCCTGGAAGGAGCTGACCTGTCTCCACCACTAGGTGGCAATCGGGCGACTAGAGACCCTGAATATCTTTGGCAATGACTATGACACAGAGGATGGTACAGGTGAGCCCAGGACCAGGAGGACCCAGGATGGGAGAGTGAGGAGGGGCAAAGACTATATTGAACCTCTCCAACCCCCACCTCCTCTCTGTAGGCGTCCGAGATTATATCCACGTCGTGGATCTGGCCAAGGGTCACATTGCAGCCTTAAGGAAGCTGAAGGAGCAGTGTGGCTGCCGGGTAGGGAGAGAAGAGGGAAGGAGGGAAGAGAGACCTAGGCCTCAGCAGAGGGGACCCTTCCACAAACCCTGGCCTCCTCTCCTGCACAGATCTACAACCTGGGCACAGGCACAGGCTACTCAGTGCTGCAGATGATCCATGCCATGGAGAAGGCCTCTGGGAAGAAGGTAGGCACCCCACCCCAGCCCACCCAATGCTCAGCAGAAACTTTGTCCCCCACCAGCTGCCCTGTCTACTAGGCTCAGCCTCGCCCCTTAGCACCTGGACTGTGAGCAAGATCATGCTCTACACCTTCCTTCCTTGTGGACCTGGCCAGCAGCTGGGTGGATAGGACCCAGGGCTGGCTCAGCTAAGCCCCAAGCATCTCTTCTTGCAGATCCCATACAAGGTAGTTGCACGGCGAGAAGGTGATGTGGCCGCCTGCTATGCCAACCCCAGCCTGGCTCAAGAGGAGCTGGGCTGGACAGCAGCCTTGGGGCTGGACAGGATGTGTGAGTACTGCCCAAGCCCAGACTCCAGCTCTGGCCCCTGAGAGAGAGTTTGGGGCTCCGAAGGGGTTAATCAGCTCTTGGCATGCCCACCTGGGCTGCCTGAGGGAAGCTCCATTCCAGCGAGGGCCCTGACTACATCCCCTGCCTACTGTAGGTGAGGATCTATGGCGCTGGCAGAAGCAGAATCCGTCAGGCTTTGGCGCACAGGCCTGAGAACCCTCCTACAATGGACCAGAAACAGAACAGAGCAACTGTCTGCTCTCCAGCCTCTGGCAGAAACCTAGGGGTCCCTTAGCCTCTGGGCAAAGGCAAGGCCTCCCCTACCTCAAACCCCAGTTTGGCCGCTTAGCCCACCAGGCCTGAAGCCACGGACTCCACTGACTACCAGAAAGCAGCCATGAAGGAATTCCTTGAGAATCTGCTCCCTCCTTTCTAACCATCTGTAACACTTACTTACCTTCCACAGTGTCCAGAACCCTGTAGGGACCAAGAGCAAATGAGGGAGGCAAGGACCCTGTAACAGATACCTCCCAGGCACTAATTTACACTGTTATGAAGAGCTTTCCAAAATATTTAAAATAAAAAGTTTTCTTACACAGGGCAGGTTCTCCCAGATGGTCACCCGCTCTCCCTTGAACAGAATCAGCCAGGCCCAGGTTGAGGAAGCGATTTCTTTAATTTTATCGGAATCCAAGACACAACAAGAAAAACACCCAAAAACCACATGGAGACAGAAGACGAGACACAACTCCTCCCCCACCGCCTCCCTGGCCCAAGAGTGGGGACAAAGTGTGGGTGAGACATCTGGGGGAGACTTTGCCTCTCGGTCCAGCCCTGCAGGCTCCAGGCCTGAGGGGAAGGAACAGTAAGGGGAGGTGGCCCAGCCCCCCAACGGGGAGGGAACAGCTGAGGGAAGGCCCCTGGGAGGACTCTACCCCCTCACCAACACTCCTGCCCAAGGGCAGGTGGCCCAGAGCAGTGAGGGGGTGGGGGCCTGGACACATTCATGATCGAGAAGCAGCTGGAGAGGAGGCAGGAGACAAGATTATCTGGGCAGAATCCCTGGGGGGGGGGGTCAGTAGGTGGGGCCTAGGAGGGCCCCATGGGCCAAACCCTGAGGTCACAGGAGGGGGGCCAAAAGCGGGGCTAGTGAGGTCCTGAGTGAGTGGGTCAGCGGCTGGGCCCCTTCCTCCCGCTGCCTACAGCCCCTCCAATACTGCTGCTGAGGGACCCACCTCCAGGGAAAGGGGGTAAGAGAGCAGCCCACCCCTGCTGCAGACAGTGCCAGGTGGCCGAGGCCAGGAGGGCAAGCTGGCCTGTCTAACCCGAGGCCTGTGGGAGAGAACTGGTTGAAGAAGGTGGGGACAGGGGCTCGACCGGCTCAGATCCAAGATGGTGCCACATGTGCTGGGTCCCTCACAAGCTGGGGGCCATTGACTCTGGTTAGACAGGAGGCAGCAGCTTCTCAAGAAACTCCTTCACGGCTGCCATCTCCTGGGGGTGAGGGGGGATTGTGAGAGGCTCCTGGCTGGAGGGAGGAGGAGAGGGGGGTGGGTGTGGGAAGTGGTCCTTCGTCACTGACCTGAGGGCAGGAGCTGTGCATGACACCTGGGTAAGTCTTGAACTGGACCCTGGCAGGTGTGACAACAGACCGGAGCTTTTCGGCCGTCAGGGCCCCAAACCGTACAGGCACCATGGGGTCCAGCTCCCCATGGCACTGAAGGATGGCGAGATCCTTGGCACTGCCATTGGCTGCCTGTGGGCCGGACAGGACTCAGGGGAAAGCCAGTCCACCAGCACAATCCCCAAACCAGGAGACTCTAAGGGCAGGAGGGGATCTGTAGGGACATTCACCTGCGGGAAGGCCCGGTGCAGAGGCAGCCAACAGCTCAATGCCACAATGCCAGCCAGAGGGTGGGGACAGGTGAGGGCAGTGTAGAGGGACAGGGCCCCACCCTGGAGGGATGAGAGAATGAAAGGTCAGGAGGGCACAGCTCACCTACCCACCACCTACCACCTACCTCCCGCCTCTTCTCACCTGTGAAAAGCCTCCCAGGACAATCCGATTAGCAGGGATCCCATTCTTCATTTCATGCTCAATCAAGGCCTTGACTGGGGGGGAAGAGGGCATGACTAGGTGGGTGGAAAGCAGCTGAGGGACACAGGAAAGAAGGCCCTACCGTTTCTGGAGGAGGGGCAGGGAGAATGCTTAGAGCCCACTGACTTACTGTTCTCTGCTGCCTTCTTGATGCCAGCCTCATCCTCTGGGGCATCTGGACTCAGCCCCATCAAGTCAAACCTGGGGAAGGAGAGGCATTGGCAGCCATTGGAGGAAACCCACCAGCCCCCTGCACCTCCCTCGGCTGATGCCCCTCCCCCTACACTCACCAGGAGGGCATCACCATCTTCATGTTGAGTGTCACAGGGATCCGAGGCCTGGGGAGGGACACAGCAAGAAGGGCCCTTGCTCAGGAAGATGAGGGAAGCCACAGCAGAGAGCCGGGGAGGGAGCAGAGCAGCCCTTGGGGGCCCCTCCCAACAGGCAGAGCCTGTGTTTAAAGTGTTGCCAGGCAACCAACCACGTGGGGCTGGTTGGGGCACCAGTGGTAGTGATGGAGAAGCAGAGGCCAACACAATGTGACGGGTGACGGGGTCCAGCGCCATGGGTGAGTACTTGGGGAAGGGGCACAGGGAGGTCCTGGTTCTAGGAGATCTCGGTTCTAGGAGGCCCTAGGGCTGGTGCTGGGACCCATTCCTGGGGACACCACAAATGCTAAGGCTGAAATAGCACTTCTGACTGCCCTGGGCCCAAGCCCAGGACACAGCTGATGGGAGAGAACAGGCCTGGAACCACAAGACCACCCCCAAGCTGGGCACCATCCTTAGCCCCTCCCTTGCTGGGGGTGAAACTCACGCATGGGGACAGATGTACTTGACGTGAGGGAGCCGGATGGTGGAGAGGGCGTCAGCCCAGCTGTGCCTGTAGGAGGGAAGGAAGGAAAGGCTCCGATGTAGGGAGGAGGAAGGGAGGGAGGGGCGGCAGGCCCCACCTCCCCAAGGAAAAGCCCCTCCCAGCTCACTCACCCTGTGTCTCCAAGTCCATGTAAAAAAATAACCTGGAAAAGGATGAGAGGTGTGGAGCTGGGCAAACGGGTTGTCAGCATGCAGCTATCACTCTTCTTCTGCATCTTTCAACTTCTGGTCACCCCTCCCCCACCCCAGAGGACCTGGGGGGAACTGAGGTAACAGCCAAACAGGTTATTAACCCCAAGCCTCCTGGCCTCAGGCTGCTCCCTTGTCATCACTGCCACCTGTTTTTCCTACACCCCTGCAGTCAGCCCCAGCTAGGGGCTGCATGGGTAGCCCCATCCATGTGTATGCTCCTGGCCAGAAGGACCCTTACCGCGGCCGTTTCCCGCTCAGCTCCAGACACGGTGGCAGCATCAGTGAGCAGGGGCACAGACATGGTGTTACCACACATACACTACAGGGCTCCACGGCTGGGGCCTGCACAGGTCAGGAGAGGAAGTTTCATCAAGGCCAGGCAGATGAGAGTCTCCTATCACTGGGCAGAGCCTCCAACCTAGGGCGCAAGCCATCAGACCCCCCAAGAGCACCCTGGCCTGGGTTCTGTTCTGGCCACAAAGAAAAAGGCAGGCAGGAAGTTTGCTTCCATTCCAGAGGCAGTCGTCCTGGTGGCCCAGAACTCATGTCCCTGGTTCTGGCCCAACCACAGCACTTGAACTTGCTGGACTGGGGCAAAGCCAGGGCTGAAGGACCATATCTGGTAAAGGGGAGGCTAAGAAGAGGCAGGGAATTCCCCGCTGCCTTTCCCCAGCTACTGCACGTTAGTGGGTAACTGCCTCCTCCCTATTCTCCAGCCACCCTCCTTCTCTGGTGGCTCTGGATCTCCCCCTGCTATTCCCAAGCCATTCTGGGAAATGAAAGGGACAAAACGTCAGGGCAATGTGCTTCTAGTCTCTGCTCCCCGCGACCCACAACACACACATCTCCAACCTCCCTCCTGTCCATGTAGCCCACATCCAACCCCTATCCAGCCTTCACAGCAGTTTCTGGTTCAGCCCTTCCCAGAACCTTAAGGGCTGCCCATGTAGCCAGAAGGCATATGGACTCCTACCACCCACTCCCCAACTGGCGCTGTGGCCTCCCCGAATAGGGCTACCTGCTGCTGCTGCTCCCTATAGACTCCAAATGGGCTGCCCAGCTTGACCACACTCTGGGACTCCCAAACACACAAAAGAATGTCAGGCTGGCCCCATTCTCAGCACCCTCCAAACTCGCCCGTAAGCTTCCGCTACTTGCCCTAAGTGCCCATCCTTCCAGCAGCACCCACCCCTCCTAACTGGTTTCCACTTTCCACCTCTGACCCCCTCCCCGCTCAGGGCACCAACCTACAATGGGATCTTTCACCTCTCAGACCCTAGGGGTCCTTCTTCCCACAGGAGAGTGGACCTTTCTCCCTAGGCTGGGGAGTCCCTCCTCCGCTGTGGGAACTTGCATCTTTCACTCCTGGGGTCGTCCCCGTCTCCCCCACTTTCAGATGGATGTCTGTTCCCCGACTTCGTGTCTCCCTCCCCACAGCAAAAACTTCCACCCTGACCCAGGGTCTCTTACTCCCTACAATGGGAACTTCCTTCTTGACCAAGGGTCAACCCCTCCCCAAAGTGGCATTTTCTACCCTGACCCAGCAGCCGCTCCTTCCCACAAAGAAGCTTTCTACCTTTAACTCTGGAGAGCCCCTGTCCCACAATGGGATCTTCCACTTTCGACCCCGGAATCTCTGTCATAACACCCAGACACCCTCTTTCCCAGCACCTCTCAACCCTCGAAGTCCTCAGGATTGAATAGCGCCTGTCGGTACCTCAGTCCCCACCCCCATCTTCACAACTGCAGTTCTCCCTGCCCCAAATCCAGGACCGTCCCAGCGGCCCGATCAGCTCCCACATTTCCTCCCTCCGCCTGCTGCCCCTGGACCAAGGTACCTCCACTCCTTGTGGGTTTCAAACCTCTTGGGCGATTCTCCTCTTTCTCCCTCACACACACTCTTCCCCTCGACCGCCCCCGCCGGAACTTCCGTTTGAGTCCCGAGAACCCAGCCAGAGCGCTGCCGGAAGTAGCCTAGGGAGCATTACGGAACCCGGAAGTGGGGTGCAAGGTTTTGGCCATATAGAAGCTGCCATATTGAGTACGGCAGGACCACTCCCTGTAATTAAGCCACGGAGTCACCGAGTTCTTGCTCATACTAACCTGCACAGTCTAGAATGGGCACAGAAGACTTGCACTTGCTACCACCACCCATACGCCTCCTGGAAGAAAGTTACCCGAAAGGACAGGCATTCCTTACATTATTGAGACAAAGAGTGCCACCCAAGCAAAGTGTGTTTCCCTACCCCATGGGAAACGATTCAAGGCCTCGTGTTCCACCACTGGCTTTCTAGCCCTTTCCTTAAGAATTCCAGGATTATGGATGGTATCATATACTTTGAACTGAAAATATCCTTAAGAGATCATTTAGTCCTTCAGTCTTAAATATGGGAAAACTGAGGCTCTAATCTCAATGTTAGACTGTAATACTTCCTCTCTAGATTTGCTTCCTGAGCTATAAAATGGGGTTAATAACCGCATTGCCTACTTCACAGCTGTGCTTTAGGGCTCAAATGAGGTCGTGTGAAAATGCTTTATACACTATAAAATCAGTGTGAAGTCTTAATGACTCTAAAAAAGGATCCTAGGAAACTAATGCAGGCCATACTCCATATCAGGATAGCTGGACAGGGATCAGTGGTGTTGTCTTAGCTCAACAAGCAGCGCCATGAAGACAGTACACAATACAAAAAAGGGCTTCATTTACCAACCATTGAGTTACTTTGCTTCTTGCTGACCAGTAAAGGCTGAAGGCATGGCAAACAGAATTGAAGGATGATGTTCCTGAGCAGGAAATGAGTCACACCTGTCCCTCAACAACTTAAAAAAAGAAAACAGTACTAACTCAAAGCTCACAAGGCATTTTCCCAGGTCAAAAGGCAGTTTGGTCCTTAGTGCTCAACAGGTTGCAGGGATGGAGCCTTAAATACCAGAATTTCAGGCAAGTCTCCGGGTCAGAGGGATAATGAGATGGGAGTGGAAGAAAAAAAAACAAAAAACACTTGCTCCTACTCCTTGCTGGGTCCACTTATGGAAGAACAAACAATTGGTTCCTCCTACACCCCCCACCCCCCCCCCAGTTAAGGAGCTCTGGTGGCATAGTGCCAAAGGCACTTGATTGCTACCAGAAGGCTGGCGGTTCGAACCTACCAGCCACTTCTCAGAAGGAAGGTTGGGCAATCTACTTCCGTAGTGATACTGCCTCGGAAACCCAAGGAGGGGTCGCAATGAGTCAGGTCTGACTCGACCGCACATAACAACAACAAAAAAACCCCCAGTTCACCTGAGACCCTGCTGGTCTTTGAACAAATTCTCCAGGGTGAAGCTTCAAATTCAGAGGCCCAGTCACTGGGGCTACCAGTTGTTAGTGCTTTAATTAGTGGAATTAATGAAGGGCTAGGCTTAGGAGTTGAAAAACGACTCGACAACACCTAACAACAACAAAGTCTGTTCTAATATTTCTAAACTTTATTTTCTTCCTTCCAACACTCTAAATTAAAGTATGGCTATTTTTATCTCTAAAATGATTCAACTGAAGCAGAGGTTAGGGCTGAGAGGCAGGTATGACCCTTGGGCATCAAGAATTGTACTTGCATTCTAGTTGATTTCAAGCTGCATTTCAGAAATGGTGAGGCTCATAATGGTGGTGGCAGGCTTTTCCTAGGACAGGCTGGCAAAGTAGTGAACATCTCCTCCTAGCAGTGTGGACCAGTCCCTCAGAGGAATTCTCTCAAGCAGACTCAGGTTCAACACTGTTCAATTCCCTTTATCAATTGTTCTTATTTTCTTTCTGAGAAAACACCAACCGTATCAAATCTCCTTTTCAGATCTGTAAATTCCCTTTAATTGCTGTGTTGAAAAACATAAATTCCTTTCAGAAGGTAAGTCCAAGGTCTCTGGTGTATGTTCAGATCACATGTGCTGCATTCACGTCCCTCATTTCTTCTGATGAGCTCCAGGACCTATTCTGTTTGTAAACATTTCTCTTTCCACAGGTTATTTCCCCCTCTGGAGAAATGGAAAACAGCTTTTTAATTCTGTCTTCCTCTTTACAAAACCCAAGTATAGATGTGTTCATAGCCTTCTGGACAGAATTAAGCTTAATTTTTCCTGGAGGAACTAACTAATTTAGTCTTCCTTTAACTGTGGTACTTCTGTGATCTACTTAGTCCAAAACAACACAAAAATTATCTTCAAGGTCTGATGCAGTTCCCGATAAAAGTTTCATCAAAGCTACCAAGAGCTCCAAAGAAAATATACAAGCATGAAGTCTGGCAAGGCTTTATTAGGAAGCTTATTAGTCACAGTGAATAAAAAGCCATGAACAGAGAACTGAGAGATCCCCAAATTCTGGCATTGAACTTAAAACATTAGTGAGAAGCTAATACACACTTAAGTATCTTCCAAAGTGGAATCTTACCTATATCTCAACCTTACCCCCACCAGGATACCCAAAAACACGGCAACAATTCCCATGTTCTCCCCAGACTGCTTATCTAAGCACTGGGAATAAAAGACCTTCTCCTCAAGCTATTAAGTATCACCAGGAGACTCCTACCCTTCCAGCTGTAACTCTGAGACACTTTGTACATGACAGACAACTCCAAGCTAGGCAACCAGACAAGAATATTGAACAATGGCAGGATGAAGAAGCAAGCAGGGACAAGTGTTTCTTATTGGAGACCCTCCTGATGACTAATACAGACACAATCCACAGGCTTCACAAAGCCCAAGAATTGTTCATATTTTTTAAAAAACAGGTCACACATAAATCCTGCCACAAAGCAACAAGACAATTGGGATCCCATGGCACATTCAAACTGGCAAAGCTGCCATTATCCATGACTGCCAGATGCCAGACCAGCCTAAGACTCAATTTCTGCAGTGCCCTGAAGAACCATGATTGTCCCTTGGGACTCACACAACCTCTAGTGGTGTGGTATCTTCTATAGGCCAGGTTTCCACAGCAAGCCCCAAAGACAAAGCTTTGGCAGAGACTGTTGCAGCCAACTCTCTTGGGAGCCCCATCATGTTTCCCTTCCCAATAGGTAGTTGTATATCTTCAGTGACACAGAGCCTCCTTAGGAGCCTTGGCCAGCCCTTAGGAAATGAAGTGTGTCTGTGGGGTAACCTGATGGACTTTGTGGTCTGCGGGGTTGGCTGATGCTTCATAATTGCAAATGGTCACCTCATGTCGGCGAAGCTGCAAGAAAATCAAGAAGCTAGGTTAGCTGGCCATCAAAGAATGGTGTCTCCCAAGACCACACACACTGAAACAGTCCTGATTCAGGTTCATTTCTAGAAGTCATCATCTAGTATCTCCTCTTCTGGTATTTGTTATCCTAAGAAGCCTACAAAGATCATTATCAATGATTCACCAGTTAACACAGAAGATTCCTGTACCTCTCCCTGCTATTAACGGCAATACCATAAGAACAAGACCTTGTCTATCTTGTTTATCACCTTATCTCTAGTGTCTGGAACAAGAAAGCTTATCAAAAAATGTTTGTTCAATGAAGGAAGAAATTTTAAGTGAAAAATTGAATTAATACCCGTATAATTTCAATCTCCTTAAAAATACTTACATCCTATTAACTGTACATTAACTGTGATGAAACCAAAAGAATTAGAAACAGATCATATCATTTGCTGTTTCCCTTCTTAGAGCTCCCACCCACTATCATGAGTACAGATATATATGCCCAACTCCAGCTTACCTCAGTCCATTCTCCTCTCAGACCAACATAAAAGACCTTTGTGGTATCTGCTCCAAAGTTTTTTGAAATATGAATAGAGAGATGATAGACATTTGAAAAACGAGAAATTCTAGATGAAAGGAGTGGGGAGAGAAGACACAGGTTAGAGTTCCTTGAGCATCTTACTACCATGTCAAAAACAATTCCAGCTCCATCTTCTGGTAAACAGCAGATAAATGTCAATGAACACTCTTGGGTTCTTATTTCTCATCCCTCTCCTCTAGACAAGCAATTAATCCCACGACAAGTTATTGAACATCTACTCTGGGCCAGATACTGCCCAAGACAGGAGGGATAGAAAGATGACTCAATAGTGTTCCTGCCCTCAAGAAGCAGGTATGAGAAGTTCTGTATAACCAAATTTAGTTTGGACCTCACCCTTAGGTGAAAAAGAGAACTTGTAAAGAGCTAAGGAAGGTGTGCAGCACATGAAATTTAACCTGCCATCAGCAGTTCAAATCCACCAGCTTCTCCATCAGAGACAGATGTGGCAGTCTGCTTCTGTAAAGATTTACAGCCTTGAATACCCAATGAGGGCAGTTCTACTTTTCTGTCCTATTAGTTCGAATCAACTTGTTGGCAACTGTTTTTTTTTTTTTTTTTTTTAAGAAGCTCACTATGCAAAAATGAACTCTGAAATCACTTTTCTAAGACTACCGTAGGAGCTCTGGTAGCTCAGTGCCTAAGCCCACCAGCCACTCCTCTGAAGGAAGGTTGGGCAATCTACTTCCTTAGTGATACCACCTCGGAAACCCAAGGAGGGGTTGCTATGAGTCAGGTCTGACTCGACGGCATGTAACAACAACAACAAGACTACCACAGGAGCTCATTTAGATCTGCCAACTGCTTGCTTACAAGTTAACAAGTCTGTGACTTGCATTGAATCTCCATCAAAAACTGACCCAGCTAAGGATCAAGGCTCCTCCACTATTTTAACTCATGCATGGAGTTTGATGTTTGGAGCAGGAGACCCGCTAAAAAATAAATGCTGAGTCCTTTAAGAACTGATGCATACATGCTGGCTGCAACTGCTGAAGGAGCACCTGCAGTTCCTCAGGAGAAGCCAGAGTGAAAGCCACACCCAGTGCTTACTTCGTAGCATACTCTAATTCTCCTGTAAGATCCCGGTTCAAACTAAAGGTCTGGTCTGGTTCCCTGTCTGTATCATCAAAGGACATCTGTGGAATGTTCTTATACCTGAGAAAGGGAAGGGAAGCAAAGTTAGGAAATGTCCACTACCATGTTTCTCAGTTTCTAAGGAATTCCTACTGACCCCTCAACTATCGAAGGAGATAAAATTTGGGGGTCAAATTTTGGAAATGGCATTTTATTGGCATTTATAGACAATTATCCTTAATCCAACAAGAAAAGCGCTAACAACTGCAATACAGCTAAGTGGCATCTTTGAGTGGGTTAAGATCACATGAGAAGCAATACACAAAGAAACGGCTCAAACTAGATCACATGCAGCAAATGCATGGAGAAAAATACGCAACTCAGCACATTCACACGAAGCTGGGGATGCTAAATAAAACAGCTTACTCACGGGAAAAGGTACATACTTCGGCAGAAACATATTAAACAGAGTCGAGAGATAAAATCAGGTAACTCAACACTCAAGCATTTGTGTCCAAAAATTATCCTAAGTACTCAGTCATCTTACAGTTCTTAAAAAAACACATTTTGGGGATTTCCATTTTGAAAACACAAAAGGCTTCAAACTCACAACAGGCTTTGGAAAGTCCAGGTAAAACTGCTAGTGAAGAAAAGACTTTTCAAAGAAATAATGTAAGAAAACAGCTGTCTTCCTGTAACACACATATTCTAAAGGACTGAAGCCACATATCCCACCTCTATCTCCAAGGTGTTTTATTAACACACCCACATAGGAAGGGCCTAGATATTAGCTGTAGCAAAATGCATGTTATTTTAAAAAGCAAATGTTTGCTTCAAAATATTTCTAAGGCTAATGCAAAGTAGAATAATAGTAAACATTTATGTAGCATAGTACCTAAGGCACTTGACTGCTAACCAGAAGGCTAGCGGTTCAAACCCACCAGCCACTCCTCGGAAGGAAGGTTGGGCAATCCTACTTCCGTAGTGATACTGCCTCGGAAACCCAAGGAGGGGTCGCTATGAGTTGGGGCCGACTCGACGGCAAATAACAACAACATGAGTGGCATTATGAGAGGCAGTGTAACACTGTCGTTAAGAGCAGTGTCTGTGGAGCCAAACTTCCTGGGTTTAAAGACTGGCTCTGTCACTACCAATTGTGTGCCTCTGGCAAGTGATTTAACCCGTCTCAGTTTCCTCAGCTAAAAAAGGTGGATAGTGACAGTACTTACTCCCTACAGTTGATGAGGAGATTAAAATGAATCAATCTTAAGACAAATATTTTTTAAAAAAAACTTTACTAAGCCAAATGTCAAACACAGACAGAAGTAGAAATAATATAATGATCTCCATATACTTAACAACAAGTTTCAATAATCAACACTACACAGATTTTGCCTGTTACCCCCACTGTGTTTTTCCTTGATATTAAAGCAAATTCCAGATAGCATTATCATTTCATCCATAAATACTTAAGTACACATCTCTAAAAAGTTAAAGACTTGTCCAAAAAATAAAGTAGAAAACTTATGATATAATGATATAATTTTACATTAACAATATCAACAATTCCTTAATACCATTTAACAACTAGTCTGTGTTCAAATTTCTCTGATTTAAGACTCATTTTAACTTTTCTGAGCTCTGGTGGTATAGTACTGCTCTGGTTACCTAGTGCCGCCCTGACAGAAATATACCACAAATGGGATGGCCTTCACAAACAGGAGTTTATTCTCTTACAATTTGGAGGCTTTTAAGTCCAAGTTCAAAGTGCCAGGCTCTAGGGGCTGGGTGAAAGCCCCTCAACCTTGGGGTCCAGCTCAGCCTCCTGCTCCCGGCCCACTGGAGCTAGAGGGGTTTCTTCACTCAGACAGCTACTGGCTGCTGAGGCTGACAAGCCCAAGGTTGACAAGTAAAACGGCACTGTCCAATGTTACCAAACCACATGGCAGGCCATCAATTTAAGTCCACTGTAAGTCCGAAGGTCGGCAGAGCATGGCAGGCTACTGAACATTGACATGGCTACACGCAGGGTTCAAGCATACCATAAGCTAGAGACTGTTCCCTAAGGCTTCTCCTTATATACAGAAGGAGACCACATCCCAAAGGCTGCTTGTGGTAGATCCCACCATGGAGTTGACTGCCAGTCTCATTATGGATAATAACTACCACCAGCTGTCCAGCCACTCAACCAGGCCCAGCCAAGTTGACATACAAATTTAGCTACCACAAGTGCATAAGGCATTTGACTGCTAATCCGAAGGCTGGTGGTTCAAACCCGCCAGCCACTCCTAAGAAGGATGGTTGGACAATCTACATCCATAGTGATACCACCTCAGAAACCCAAGGAGGGGTCACTATGAGTCAGATCCGACTTGACAGCAGTGAGTTTGATATTTTTGACTTGGTGTGTCAATGGCATGTCATAGTTGAATTAGCAGCGTTTTTTTCCTTTATTAATGGTATGTAAAATACTGGTGCATTTTAGGATCAATGATATCTTAGATGCAACAAAGTTTGATACACATAAGGTGATTACAACAGAGGACTATATACATATTTGCACCTGCCTCTCCAAGAGTGGGTACTTACTATGTTCCAGACTTATTCTAAACTCTTTACATGTTATAATTCCTTTAATTTTCTCCTCAATCTAGTGAGGTTCATACCACTACTATCACCAGAGAAAGTGAAACATAAAGAAGATAAATAATGCACCTAGGTCATGCAGCTAGCAAGAAGTACAGCCAGAATTTGAGCTTAAGCAGTTTACTCCAGAGCCTACACTTGACTCACTTTTTTTCACTACAGAGTCTACACTCTTAACCACAACACAACATGGATGTTTAGTCTTCTAAAGCCAATTCATCCCAAAAGTAAATGATTCTTCAAAAGCACCTCTTAATCACACTTAACTGTTTTCTTAAATGGTTAAATATGTGATTTGTCTTCAAATTCATGTTTCTAACATGCAAAAATAGTGTTAATTTTCTTTCTTAGATCTCTCTAAAACCCATTTAAATTGTTTTTCAGATGAAATTTCCTTATGTACAGCTTTTTAAATAAGAATTTTTGAAATGCATATTACAAACAGTGCAGCTAACCACAAGACAGCACTTCACTTTACTCTCATCACCTGACACACTTATTCCTCCAGCATTCAAAAAACTATTTTCCCCTTCTTTTAGGAAGATTATGTGGAACAAGGTTAGTTGTCAAAGAGAGTACTATCTCTGGTGGCAACAGAACCAGTGCTGCAAGAGGTGTACAGAACTTTGTTAACTAAAAGGCCATACAAACTCAGATAAAGAAATTCCATATCAACAAAACCCACAAAAATTATCACTATGTGAAATGGCAAGGGGGAGCTTTGAAGCTAACCTCAAGAACAGACTCCATAAAGATCATTTGAGAACTGCTGCTGAGTTACTTAAAAAACTGCAAAGTCATCAACAACTGGCATTTATAGGATGTTGTCTGAATGAATGGTGCTGGAGTGAGTACTTTGAAAAGAGAGATAAACCGTTGACTGTTGGCTCTAAAGATGCTTAATCTAAAAAAGTCATTAATTCAGGAAGAGATAACTATATTCAGATACAGAACAAGAAGACAACCGGGAAATTTTAAAAATATAAAAAACAAGGATGGGGGAATATAACCCAATGAAAAGAAAAATGATATTCTGAAATAAAGTGCTACCAGAAAGAGCATGACTAAGAGCTTCTTGAGGGCCTAAGCCCTTGCCACTTACAGTCTCATTTCAGAGGGATGCGATTCATTGTCCTCTCCCATTATAATGATGCCTTTGAGCTTGACATTGCCTGTAAATCTGTCAGAAATGCAATAAAGACAGTTGTCAACCATAATTTGAACCCCTGCTTAGCTGTGTGACCCTTGGCAAGACCTTTCCACTCTCTGGACTTTACTCACTGGTCAGGTTTGTACTAGATCATTTCTAAGCTCCTGTCTCCCTCTAGAATTCAACAATTCTAAGAAACTGACCTTAACTTCTTAGTCATCTTGCAACAAATACTGTTTCCACTCTGCACCAAGAAAGCTATGAAGTTTACCTCCTCACACCCACCAAACCCCATTTTTAGAAATAGATGTGTGACTCTTGATAGAACCAATGAATTAATCCATCTGACAAGGTAACTGGGTACAGCCCATTTAGGCTAAGGCAGACATCAAGGAGATACTTACGGAATATTAAACAGAAGCTCTTCATCCGCATCACTTTCAACAAACTGGAGGGGATGGGAAATGGCGAGGAGAAAGCAAAATATTTGCTGAGAGTCTACGATTTCAGGCACCCTCTACCCTGTTCCGTAACTAGGGTGCAATGCAAGTCGTCAACCTCCCCCGGTTTTCTGGGACTTAACTTGAATTAATCTTATGGGGAACCCATGCATGTACGTCCAGGGTCCATCAGCTTCCTGACACTGTGTGCAAGTTTCGGTGCCTTTCTGAGGCGAGGGTCCAGAACTTTCAAATGGCTCTCACGGGGTCCTATGGCCCCAAAATGGTTAAGAACCTGTGCTCTAAATAGGTAACACCCTTCTCTTCCAGGTCTGGTTCTCATCAGGCGATATGATAAGGCAGTCTTTGGGACCAGCGATCAAAGGGAAAGGAAAACGCCCTCAGGCTATCCTCCCCCACAACCTCTCACAGCCGTCAAAGAGAACACTGAGCTGTATAATGCCAAGGCGCCCCTCTCCCTCTCTGGGCCTCGGTTTCCCTATCTGCAAAACAGGAAGACTATCATGTTCGCCTCCCAAAGGACTGGCAGAAAATGGGCACAGGGAAGCACTTGGCAACTGGGCTGTCTTTATTTTTAACAGCAGGAACAAGGCTGGTGGAGAGACTGGTGGACTGATGCCCTGCGCGAGTCCCGCCTCTCCCTCCCACCCCGGGCCCTGTCAGGCCCACCTTGGAGCGGTCGGTCCGCTCCTCCCAGGGCTTGAAGACGCCGCGGCCGCTGCCCTCGCGGCTCTCATTGAGGCACTGCAGCCGCTCCAAGTCGATGCGCAGGTACAAGCCGTAGGCCAGGCCGCGCTGTTCGGGCGGCTCCTCCCGTTCAGCAGCGCAGCGGCAACCTCCCCCGCCGTGGCTGTGCCCGTGCGACATGGCGACGCCGCCGCCCGCCAGTCCCTTCGGTCCCACCGGCGCCGCGCTCTCTTCACTCCCGCCGCCAAGCGCGACGCGTCTGCCGCGTCGTAAAAGGCGCCCCTGTCAGGCGCATGCGCCAGGGGAAAAGGGCGGGGCTCGGAGAAGATTGACGTTTGACAGGCGCCTTCCAGAGAGTTAGTGCCTCTTTAGTCCTGGAGATGACAGTGTTACTATCCTAGTTTTACAGATATGGAAACTGAAGGGCAGAGAGATTACGCTTAAGTGTTCCGAGTAGGTGTTCCAACTGGAATTCGATACCTACTCATCTAAAGTTTGTGTTCTTTTACCACCTTGTTTCTTCTGGCAGCTTGTGGAGGAAAGGGAGCAGAACGATAAAGGTCCTGAACGGTAGGGAACACAACACTATTACTCCCTCACAAATGCACGCTTAGGCGTTTGGAGCGCAAAGACCCCCTTTTGTGGCCACTGTCCTGATAGCGGGCTTAGAGTTTGGGAGCGCGGGCTTTGTAGACCGCCGGATCTGAAGACAAGCCCTGACAGTAAAACACTGAATAAGTAGGTTCCCCATTCTGAGACTCTGCTTCCTTATCTGAAAAGAGGGAATAATGATAATTTCTGTTTCACTGGATTGTAGTGAGTATTAAATAACATAATGCCCGACAAAAACTCAGCACAGTATCTGACACATGGTAAGAATTCAGTAGATTTTGGTCATTACAATAATTGTGATTTCATTTTAGAAATGTTCTTGGAGTCAGATCTTGCTTACAATCCAAGCGCTTACTAGCAGAGTGGCCTTGGGCAAATGGCTTAACCTGAATCTCAGTTTTCCTCCTGTAAAGTGAAGAGATTGGACTAGGTGACCTTTAAGTTCCCTTCCTCTGGGATGGTTCTGAATAGTTTTTTTTCAAATGGCTGATTCTGATCCATTGATAAGTCTTAAAATCTGTTTAGAAGATTATGATTGGCATTTAAAAAATAAAATTTTTAAAATTCCAAAACATATTACTCACTGTAAGTCTCAATTTGTAGAACTTTCAGTTTTGAGTTCATTATACAATATTTTCACATTGTGGGCTGTAGTCAAAGGAACTGAAAGCCACTGTTTTTAGTGGAAATGATTTTGTAGAAACTTTTCCTCCTCCTTGTAAGGAACTCTGCTGGTATAGTGGGTAAAGTATGTGGCTGGCTGCTAACTAGGTCAGTGGTTCAAACCTACCAGCTGCTCCAAGGGAGGAAGATGAGGCAATCTACTTCTGTAAAGATTTAAAGCCTAGGAAACCCAATGGAGATCAGCATGAGTCAGAATCAAGTTGCTGGCAGTAGGTTTTGTTAGTTTGTTTTGGGGTTTTTTTGGATGGGAGGAAGAGGTCCCTGGGTGATAAAAGTGATTTGCAATCAGGTACTAACCAAAAGGTTGGCAATTTGAACCCATCCAGTGTGGGGCTCTGCAGAATGGCCTGATGATCTACTTCTGTATAAATTGAAGCTAAGAAAACGCTATGGAGCAATTCCACTCTGTAACACATGGGTTTGGCTTTTCTGTTTTGGATGGGAGAAGAAAAGATAGAGGGTGCAGAGAGAGTTACGGGAAACTCTCTATGTCCCCTGCCCTGCATTGTCTGTATGTTTCAAACATTTTTCACCTCTGGCCCATGGAATACAAACCAAAATACCCATCTGTTCCAGTTCCAAGAGCTCTGTTGGCACAGTGGTTAAAGCATTCAGCTGCAAACCAAAAGGTCAGTGATTCAAGGGAGAAAGATGAGGCGATCTGCTTCTGTAAAGATTTAAAGGCTTGGAAACCCTATGGGTTACTTTTGCTCTGTCCTGTAGGGTTGCTTGAGTGTGAATCGACTCAATGGTAGGTTTTTTTTTTTTTTTTTTTTTTGTCAAGTTCCATTCAGAAATATTTTGTTGTCCTAGTTCAGTTCTTTGTGAAATGGGTAAACTTGTTTCTGGCTCAGAAATAGCTCAGTGCTATGGATTATTCCTGCTTTCAGGCAAGGGGCCTGGCACACAGCAAAAGCTCAGTAAATGCTTGTTTAATTGAATAATGCATTCAGCAGCCTTTCTTTGGAAAGACTGGGTTACATTGCAGGACCAACACAGGCCTTACCCAGGACATCTACGTACTTTTGGCTTGTCTTCTATCACCAGGCAAATGGATTTGGAGGTATGAAGAGAAGGGGGTTAGGACTGTGATGGCCCTGCTATCCTACCTTGTACCACCTTCCAGTACAGAACTCTGAGAGGTCTAGAAATGTGAACCCAACCTTCCAGCTCATTGTGAAGGTTTATTTGTCAGGGTGACAGAATGTGACATATTTTATTTAACAATTCATTAGGTTCATTTATAACTTTTTAGGTATTCCTCCATTTGTACTCTTGCCTGGTCCCATAAATATTAAGAGTGGCTTTCTGTACAAGATTTGTCATGTATAAAATGAGAATAATAAGAGCTCCTACTTCATAGGGTTTTATTATGAAGACAATATGAGAGAATACCTGAAAAGTGTTTGGTACACTTGACCCAGAGGAAAACGGTGACTATTAATACTGCCAGGAGCTCTGGTGGCATAGTGCTTATGGCATTTGATTACTAACCAGAAGGCTGGCACTTCAAACTCACCAGCCACTCCTCAGAAGGAAGACTGGGCATCTACTTCTGTAGTGATAACCGCCTTGGAAACCCAAGGAAGGGTCACTGTGAGTGTGACTCCATGGCAGTGAGTTTGGTTTTTTTTTAGTTACTGCCAGGAGCAAGACTTTCAGCTCAGCACGCCCCCTCTGGTTGGATGGAGAACTGCAGTTGATGAAGGGGTTGGATTTGGAAGTGGACCACCTGCGTTGTAGGGTGGCTGTGATCTGGGAATAATGCCTTGTGCCTCTGCTATTGTCCCCTCTCTGGTGCTCCTATGTTGCAGGGATGTCTGAGGACAAATGAGATTTCTCACCGATTTCTAGGACTGCCTTGAGACAGGTAGGAAAATCTTCTCTTTATTTTTTTTCTCTCATTCTCAGGCTACACACACACACACACACACACAAACTGCCATTGAGTCTGACTCATAGCGACCCCTCCTTAGGTTTCTGAGGCGGTATCACTACAAAAGTAGATTGCCCAGTCTTACTTCCGAGGAGTGGCTAGTGGATTTGAACCTCCAGCCTTCTGGTTAGCAGTCAGATGCCTTAGGCACTATGCCCTCCATCTACAAACATCTCTGTAGTTCAAGGACTGCTGAATTTGTAACCATCTTCCCTTCTCTCCTGTCTCAACTAAGCTGAGAGAAACAAATTGGTCTCTGATTATTTTTTAATATTCCTTTGTGGCAAAAGTATAGTATTATAGTAACAAAGAGTTTATAACTCACTGCTGTTGAGTTGATTCCAAATCATAGTAACCCCCATTGGGTTTCTTAGGTGGTAAATCTTTACGGAAGTAGATTGCCCCATCTCTCTTCCACAGAGCAGCACGTGGGTTTGAACCACTAGCCTTCTGGTTAGTAGTCAGATGCCTTAGGCACTGTGCCACCAGAGCTCCTACAGAGTGTATAATAATAATAATAGCTCACAACCACATGACACAGTGTGCCAAGCACTGTCCTAAGGGCTTTATTTATATTATTTTTAGTTCATCATTACAGGCATACTATTATTATCCTCACCTTACAAATGAGAAAACCGGGGCTAAGTAACTTAACCCAGAATCACACAGCTGGCTAGTAGAGTAGTGGAACTAGGATTTGAACCTAGGCACTCTTCCTCCAGAGTCTGTGCTCTTAACCACATTGAACTTCCTGGAGTTTCACCTAATATTTATTGAGTACTTACTGTGTGTTGGGCTGAGACCTCAGAACTCAGTGTCATAAGGCCAGTTTATAGCCTACCTAGTTTGCTACCTTGACATCCATTAATTTCTCCTAGTTGCTCTTTCACCTAGTTATTGACATGGCTGTTTCAATCTTGTCACCCTCTCTCCACAGTGATGGCCACTCCTTGTTCCTTCCATTTATGTAGATCTCTTATGGTTTCTTAAAGTAGTTCTTTGTAGTTTTCTTTGTACAGGTCTTTTGTGTCCCTGGTAAAATTTATTCCCCAATATTTTATTTTTTTGGTAGCTATTGTAAATGGTATTGATTTCCTTTCCAGCAGTCTCTTTGTTGGTGTAGAGGAATCCAGCTGATTTTTGTATGTTGATCTTGTATCCGGCCACAATGCTAAATCTCTCAATTCCTGTAGTTTTTTTGTTGAGTCTCCTGTGTTCTCTATGCATAGGATCCTATCATCAGCAAACAGAGATAGTTTTACTTCTTCCATACCAATTTGGATGCCTTTGATTTCCCTTTCTTATTGCCCTGGCTAGGCCTTCCAATACAATGTTGAATAGAAGTGGTGATAGAGGGCATCCCTGTCTGGTTCCCATTTATAAGGGGAATGGTTTCAGTCTCTCTCCATTGAGAATAATGTTGGCTGTTGGTTTTGCATAGATGCCCTTTATTATGTTGAGGAATGTCTTTTCTATTCCTATTTTGCTGAGAGTTTTGATCAGGAATGGGTGTTGGATTTTATCAAATGCCTTTTCTGCATCAATTGATATGAAAATGTGGTTCTTTTTCTTTATTTATGTAGTGGATGACATTGATTGTTTTTCTAATGTTGAACCATCCTTGCATACCTGATATGAACCCCACTTTGGTCATAATGAATGATTTTCTTGCTATGTTATTGAAGTCTTTTGGCAAGGATTTTGTTGAAGATTTTTGCATCTATATATTCATGAAGGATATTGGTCTGTAGTTTTCCTTTTGAGTGATGTCTTTGCCTGGTTTGGTATCAAGGTTATGCTTGTTTCATAAAACGAAGTAGGGAGGATTCCATCCTTTTCTGTTTTGGAATACTCAGGATGGGTGTCAATCTTCTCTGAATGTTTGGTAGAATTCTCCGGTGAAACAGTCTGGGCCAGGACTTTTTTTGTT